CGCGTAGTCGCCAAGAGTGAACAACCACCAGGAAGAACGAGCCTCTGCCCGGTGCGCGAGGGCAGGGGCGGCGGTCTGGCTGCAGCAAAACGACATGGCAGTGTGGGCCGTCGCGTGCGGCGGGCGGGGGATGAACAGAACAGTACGGTAGCCACCGGTGGCCGGCGCGTGGGACTGACGAGATGGCGGATCTACGCCATGTGGGCTGCTAGCGCTCTTTGCGGAGGAGATGCGCGAGAGGGGCCAGCCCTCCATCTCCATGGCTAGATGCGCACAGATAGAAGTCCGCGTACCATGTCCTCTACTTCGGGGTGGAGCTCGCAAGCAAATCGACGGGGCGGCGAGGCCTTCGTCCACATCCGGGCGGCGAGACCTTCTTCCACATCGGGGCGGAGCTCGATCTGAGGGAGAGGATGGGAGCCGCCGCCGCTCAGATCTGAAGAGAAAGAGATAAGGGAGAGAGGGCCGAGAGATAGGGGATAGATTAGGGTTTTCTTTTTTGGGTTTTTATCAGTTATGCCATCGGTTGTGTCCCACTACTCAGTTTTGCCACTAGAAATTTCAACTGCTCAAAAATGTCATTGCTTCATTAGACACATGCTCAAAAATGCCACTAAACATCATTATTGTGATCTCAAATCTCTTTTGCCATGTTATAATGACATAAATACTTATGAACCAACATGCCAGCTCTCCCTCTATCTCACTACAATAAAGTATGGGGCCCACTTGATCCCAACAGCGTTCTTATTTTCTTATAAAATTATTCGCTTGATTAGTCCTGACAAGTGGGGCCACACATATCATTGTGAGATGGAGAGAACTGACATGTGGGTCTAGACTTATTTTTGTCATAGAACATGGTCAACGGGTTTGACGTAAAAATAACAATGTCTAATGGCATTTTTGAGCAAACATTTAACAGAATGATGGCATTTTTGAGATATCTAATGGCATTTTTGAGCAAGCATCTCATGGATTGATGGCATTTTTGAGCAGTTGTAACTTCGAATGGCAAAACTGAGTAGTGGGACACAACTAGTGGCATAAATGATAAAAACCCTTCTTTTTTAGGTGTGGGGGGAGATGGGTTGTTGGTGGCCTGTGGCCTGTGGGGGCGAGGGGTCGAAAATTTTGGATTGCTTCGCGCGCTAAGTGTTTCCCAGGCGCGCGCACGCACAAATGTTTTGGCGGCTCAGTTGGCGACCCACGGTCGGTCGGCATTATTTTCCGACCAACAGTTTGATAGTAGTGTAACTTTTACCGACCAACAGTTTGATGCTATATGTTTCAGCATTCCCGATTGATAGTTGATTGGGACACGTGAGTATTACCAACCAACAGTTTGATAGAAGTTTTTCCGACCAACAGTGGGTCGGCGAAATTGACTTTTGCCAACACATGTTAGTAGGGAATGCAGTGTCGTGGTGTAGTGATATATCACCACTAAGTGCTAGTTGATTACATGCATCCACTCAACAATATTCTAAAAAATATTCTTGTATTATCTTTAAAAATACACGTCAATTGATTGATTCAAGAATTCACCAACTGAAGTAAGGGGCAAAGTCGGCGCTCATCCGTATCTTATGACTTGTGGTTTGAATTAATACAAATGAATTCCTCGCTGCAATCTACTGAAATGTTCATTGTCTAGTCCATGTCATCACGTGATCAGCTGATCTAAGGCTATAGTAGCCAAAAATTGTTTTTCCGCAAAAAAGATAGTATCCAGAATTTGTTTATCCTTTTTTGTAGACAACAGAATTTGTTTATCCTTTTTTGTAGACAATAGAAATTGTTTATCTTCAGCAACAATCTACATGAGCTGCCTATTTTCGGCTTCAAGATCCTTCGAGTAATTGGGGATCTGAGAAATCTATGGTATCAATGAGTTCATCTCTCCATTCGGAATAGCTAGCCATGGCTCATCGTCTGGGAAGCTTCGGCTACGCTATCTGGGAAGACCAGCGCGTAAGATATAGCCATGGCTCATCTTCGGCTAATTCATCTATGTACTAACTGCTCGGTCGACTCCCATCTGACAAAGCTGAAGCACTCCATAAGGTCACGTCGGCAGGTCGGGCAGGTGGATGCACCGTGGAACCACGTCCCGATGCATCCAGTGCGGAAGGCACGGGAGCACGGTAGCGCGACGGCCTCCTCGTCCCTGCTATCCACGTCCGACAAGCAGATGGTGCACGGCTTGCTAGACTCACGGCGGCGCTTTTGGCCGGGCACCGGAGCTCCGGCAGCCTCGGTCTTTGCGGCGGCCTCTTTGCACGCCAGGAGCAACGCCTTGGGCTCGCTCTAGAGCACGGTCACTTTATTAATTATTCATAAAAGACCTTACAAAGTAATACAGCAGCAAGACTGAAGCCACCGTTTAGGTAACATCTGTCGCTACTCCTATTCAGTTGATGAAGGATGCTAATAGTCTGAGCCTAATACTAAATAGACCTCTCACTAAAACCTAACATCTAAGACTTGAGGCACCAACCAAGCCACCTGCCGGGTATGGGGCACCCACCGGTCCGATGCACACTCAGAGGCCACCGCCACCAACTATCATCAATCCATCTTCAGAGTTGTACTGACGCATCCACCTTGCCCGACTAGTCAAGCTGCCGTCGACGCCACCACGATGCCAAACAACGCCGCTATCCTGCTAAAATTTCGTGGCATTGTTCCTTTGGTAAAGAGGCATCAACTCCTAAGACTGAAACCCTAAAAAATCGACCAAACAATGCACAATAAATAAAGAGGACTTAACTGGTGTTTTTTTTGCTGAAGTCCTAAAAAAACTCACATGGTGCATAATAAGGTGATTTTTTGTAAATTGCTTAGTCGTAATCCAACCGCAAGGTGTGATCTTCTTTCTTCCAGCACCCTCCTCGTCTTCTTCCTCGCGAGCACCCTACTCCCATTCTTGCCTCACCTTCTGCGTGTAATACGATGCATTGGTTGTCCATGGTCATTAATTCTGCCGACATGGCGTTGGGTGGGTCCCACTTGTGAGCGAATAGTTTAATGAGTAGTATAGTTGCTTGCATAGCACTAGGTGGGTCCCACCTATTTTTTTAGGGGAAAACGTTGTCACTTTATTCAAAGTTCATAGCTCCTTCGATAGCAATCTCCGAGCTAACACACTTAGGAGATACTTGGAGCCAAGTTTTACATAGAGATCTAATACAACCTTCCCTAGCTAAGACATGGTCCTACCTATTTGACAAGAGTGCAAATCATATTGGAAGGAAATAATTGCGCACGGGGTTTCGAACCAATGACCTGGTGGTATGCTACGATTGCGCGTAACAAACGCGCCTCCTTTTATATTATATAGACAAAAAAATACGCATACGTGTTGCACATGATTTTTCGTAAAGCATAAACATTTTGTTTCCTACAAGTACATCAACATTTTCGTAAAGCATGAAAACATTTATATAGTAAATGAATATTTAGTTTAAAATATGGAAATTTATTTAAATATAAAAAAAATAAAATTATATTAATATTTCTAAAATACTATGAACATTCATTAAATATGCTCCACATTTCAATATTGTATAAACATATTTCTAATTTATAAATATTATTTAATTATATGAATATTTTTAGGAATTATATGAACAAGTTTTTTAAAAAATATTTATTTATTTGTGTGTGTGTGTTATTTATAACACACCAATATGAATATTACAAATTTGCCAAAAAAAACTAAATGGAAAAAATGGATCATACTAAGTGCAGCCCATTTATGCCCTATTATGCCAGTGCTTGGCTCATGGACTAGCTATTAGTCCCGTTAGGCGTACGAGAGGCGAACTAGCTATGGCACGTGGCCCATGTGGTTGGCACCAATGTGAAAGTTTTTGATTTTTTTTTGGATATTACTTTTTGGAAGATGGTAGTGAGATTTTCCCCTTTGTCTTTTTGAGAATTTTTTACAAGCTTTTTCTTTTTCTTTTTTAGATGGATGTCATGTTCATGTGATACAAGAAAGTTTTTCCATATGGACGTGAAGGTCAGGTTTTTTTCTTTAAGATGGAGAAACGCGTACATAGCTTTCGATCAAGTGGCCCGTAATAGCAGGCCCTAACCACTAGTAGACATCAAAGGGTGTGGGCTAGAGTTGTTACTCTTGGGGCAGGTAGGCTTGAGGTTGCTCATTCCAACCCCAAAGGACGTGGCATGATTCTTCATTTTGATTTTCTCTTTGTACCATTCACTGATAGGTGGGACCCAACAATCGTAAAGACGCATATTATGTAAGCCGTTGCAAGTGTACCTGGCGCCTTGTTGGCACGCTCACACGCATGCGAACAGAAATACAATGCTATGGGAGCGCAATTAAAGTTTGAATGACGAAGGCATTATTGCACATGAAAGTTAAGTCCATGCGCCACTTTTCTATATACCACAACTGTAGACACCAAAATGATCATACATGCCAATTTGAAACACCAGTAGTGCATTAATTCTTGTTATTTCTTTTCTAGATGAGAATTAACAAATCTGTTTATTTTAACAAGAATTTGTTCAGCAATACGTAATGTACAAGATACAAAATTGATGACACGTATCAATTTTTTTCATCTTTACCAGTTTTGCATCAGACAATCCACATATAGTTACAGTAAGAGTTTGTTTAGGGCAAATCTATATATGCCTTTGTTTTTCTTTTTGAACTGTAGATGTGCCTTTGTTATTACACATTCAAGTGACTCAATCAAACTAGATGATCCCAACATAAAATCAGTGACAAAGAATTTAGATGTACGATATTTAGAGCACATATAGATGTGTTGTGGTAAACTGAGCGTTGGTCAAAGTTTTTTTTTTGGGGGATCGTTGGTCCAAGTTGTTGTAACGGCTAAATATTTTTTTACATTGTGAGCGACTTTGATTGACCTGTGTTAAGAAAATAATTTGTTTACGTGGAAAGTTTTGGGTCATAACTCACCACACACGCAACAATGTTCGGTACTACTTTGGTCTTATTTCTTGTGCATTGACTTGGCATGGAGCACGAAGCGGTCCTTCATGGCCGCGTAGTAGGCGACCATCTCGTCCCTGCTCGGCAAGCACTTCTTCACGGCCTCGTCGGAGGCATACTCCCCGCGCCACCGGCACAAGGCAGGGTAATCCTCCTCGCGGATCATGCTAGTTTCCACGCCGGCGACCTCCTCCAGCACGGGGAGCCAGGCGAGCCCGCTGGCGGCGATGTCGAGCAGCCCTATGGAGTCGCCTCCGAAGAAGCGCCTCCCCTCCAGCTGCGCCTCCATGAGCGCCAGGTTCTCTTTGGCCTCCTCCACGAACCCCCTCCGCGCCTCGCCCTCCGGCGTCCACAGCGCCTTGAACAGCGTCCTCGAGCACCTGTCGGAGGCGAACTGCGCCCAGAAGCGGGAGGCGGCGCGGGCGAGCGGGTCGGCCGGCAGGAGCGGCGGGCCCTCGAAGGCTTCGTCGACGTACTCGACGATGACGAGAGACTCGGCGACGGCGCGGACGTCGTCGTCGTCGCCGTGGAGGAGCAGGGGCACCTTCTTGTGCACGGGGTTGTGCCGGAGCAGCAGCTCGCTCTTGCTGCCGAGGTCCTCCTGGATGAACTCGTAAGGCACCCCCTTCAGCCTGAGCGCCGCCTGGGCACGGTGCGTGAACGGGCTCCCGAAGGAGCCCAGCAGCCTCACCGGCACCGGCTCGCTCATCTTTGCTTCTCTCGTTTGTGTGGCGAGCTCACAACTCACAAGCAACACGGCTGAAATTATGGCAGGTGTGGTGTCTACCAGATGAGGGCACAATATATGTTGAGTTTCTGGCTTGTCCAACACTCAATTTTCTACTGACAAGACCAAGTCGACAGTCAACTTTGGTAGCATGTCGAATTACTCCCTCTGGTCCTTTTTACTCTGCATATTAGGTTTGTCCGAAATCAATCTCATCCAACTTTGACCAAGTTTATATAAAAATTATAGACATTCACATAACAACACCAATATTATTAGATTCATCTTGGAATATATTTTCATATTATATTTATTAGATAATATAGATGCTAATAATTTTTAATATAAATTTGGTTAAACTTAACAAAGTTTGACTTTCGGCAAAACCAATGTGCAGAGTAAAAAGGACCGGAGGGAGTACATTACGTTGGGCACTTGGTGGCGATGGGATCATGGGGCAGGTACTCTATTTTATTCATTCATGCGTTGAAGACGAGAGTTTGCTGAAGTTTGCTGTGACGGAGATGCTGATGCCAAAGGTAATGTCCCTGGTTCTCCTTGTCTTGCTCAAGTCTGTTTACCCACTGCTTGCATGTCTTGGACTCTTGGTTTGTAGTGTAGACGCTATCTGACGTGACGTCTCAATTCCTTGTCGATCCATATAGCCTAAGAATCAATAGTCATGACCAAAGTTCTAAGGGGCGTGCTATGAAGACCGGCCGGGTCGCGAGCCGCCAAATCTGGCGTCATCGAGCGGCTGAGCGTTGCCCTCCCATGTTGTAACAGAGGTCATATTGTTGTAAAGCTCATGTTGCAAAAACCTTTTCTTTTTATTGCAACAGAGCCCGTGGCGTGAAGGAGACGTGCCGGCGGTTGTAGGAGGTTGTGGTGGTGGCGGCCATAGCCGGCCAGTTGGTGTTGGAAATATGCCCTAAAGGCAATAATAAAAGCATTATTATTATATTTCCTTGTTCATGATAATTGTCTTTATTCATGCTATAATTGTGTTATCCGGAAATCGTAATACATGTGTGAATAACAGACACCAACAAGTCCCTAGTAAGCCTCTAGTTGACTAGCTCGTTTATCAACAGATAGTCATGGTTTCCTGACTATGGACATTGGATGTCATTGATAACGAGATCACATCATTAGGAGAATGATGTGATGGACAAGACCCAATCCTAAACATAGCATAAAGATCGTATAGTTTGTTTGCTAGAGTTTTTCCAATGTCAAGTATCCTTTCCTTAGACCATGAGATCGTGTAACTCCCGGATACCGTAAGAGTTCTTTGGGTGTACCAAACGTCACAACGTAACTAGGTGACTATAAAGGTATACTACGGGTATCTCCGAAAGTGTCTGTTGGGTTGACACGGATCAAGACTGGGATTTGTCACTCCGTATGATGGAGAGGTATCACTGGGCCCACTCGGTAATGCATCATCATAATGAGCTCAAAGTGACCAAGTGTCTGGTCACGGGATCATGCATTACGGTACGAGTAAAGTGACTTGCCGGTAACGAGATTGAACGAGGTATTGGGATACCGACGATCGAATCTCAGGCAAGTAACATACCGATTGACAAAGGGAATTGTATACGGGGTTGCTTGAATCCTCGACATCGTGGTTCATCCGATGAGATCATCGTGGAGTATGTGGGAGCCAACATGGGTATCCAGATCCCGCTGTTAGTTATTGACCGGAGAGTCGTCTCGGTCATGTCTACATGTCTCCCGAACCCGTAGGGTCTACACACTTAAGGTTCGGTGACGATAGGGTTGTAGGGATATGTATATGCAGTAACCCGAATGTTGTTCGGAGTCCCGGATGAGATCCCGGATGTCACGAGGAGTTCCGGAATGGTCCGGAGGTAAAGAATTATATATAGGAAGTGATGTTTCGGCCATCGGGACAAGTTTCGGGGTTATCGGTATTGTACCGGGACCACCGGAGGGGTCCCGGGGGTCCACAGGGTGGGGCCACCTGCCCCGTGGGGGCCACATGGGCTGTAGGGGTCGCACCTAGGCCTACATGGGCCAAGGGCACCAGCCCCAGGGGCCCATGCGCCTAGGGTTTCCAAAGGGGAAGAGTCCCACTTGTGGAAGGCACCCCTTGGTGCCTTGGGGGGGAGGGAATCCTCCCCTTGGCCGCCGCCCCCCTAGGAGATTGGATCTCCTAGGGCCGGCGCCCCCCCCCCTTGGCCCTCCTATATATAGTGGGGGAGGGAGGGCTTTTCTCCCACACCTTTGGTTGCCTCCCTCTCCCTCTCCAACACCTCCTCCTCCTCCATAGTGCTTGGCGAAGCCCTGACGGAGTTCTACAGCTCCACCATCACCACGCCGTCGTGCTGCTGCTGGAGCCATCTTCCTCAACCTCTTCTTCCCTCTTGCTGGATCAAGAAGAAGGAGACGTTACGCTGACCGTACGTGTGTTGAACGCGGAGGTGCCGTCCGTTCGGTGCTAGGATCTCCGGTGATTTGAATCACGTCGTGAACAACTACTTCATCCACGTTCTTTGAACGCTTCCGCTCGCGATCTACAAAGGTATGTAGATGCATCCGATGACTCGTTGCTAGATGAACTCATAGATAGATCTTGGTGAAACCGTAGGAAAATTTTTGTTTTCTGCAACGTTCCCCAACAGTGGTATCAGAGCTAGGTCTATGCGTAGTTCTTCTTGCACGAGTAGAACACAATTTGTTGTGGGCGTAGATGTTGTCAACTCTCTTGCCGCTACTAGTCTTATCTTGCTTCGACAGTATTGTGGGATGAAGTGGCCCGGACCAACCTTACACGTATGCTTACGTGAGACCGGTTCCACCGACAAACATGCACTAGTTGCATAAGGTGGCTGGCGGGTGACTGTCTCTCCTACTTTAGTTGGAGCGGATTCGATGAAAAGGGTCCTTATGAAGGGTAAATAGAAGTTGACAAATCACGTTGTGGCTTTCACGTAGGTAAGAAAACGTTCTTGCTAGAACCCTACTTCAGCCACGTAAAACTTGCAACAACAATTAGAGGACGTCTAACTTGTTTTTGCAGCAAATGCTTTGTGATATGATATGGCCAAAGTCGTGATGAATGATGAATGATACATATGTGATGTATGAGATGTTCGTGCCATTGTAATAGGAATCACGACTTGCATGTCGATGAGTATGACAACCGGCAGGAGCCATAGGAGTTGTCTTTACTCTTTTATATGACCTGCGTGTCATTGAGAAACGCCATGTAAATTACTTTACTTTATTGCTAAACACGTTAGCCATAGTAGTAGAAGTAATAGTTGGCGAGCAACTTCATGGAGACACGATGATGGAGATCATGGTGTCATGCCGGTGACAAGATGATCATGGAGCCCCAAGATGGAGATCAAAGGAGCTATGTGATATTGGCCATATCATGTCACTATTATTATTTGATTGCATGTGATGTTTATCATGTTTTGCATCTTGTTTACTTAGAACGACGGTAGTGAATAAGATGATCCCTCATAATAATTTCAAGCAAGTGTTCCCCCTAACTGTGCACCGTTGCGACAGTTCGTTGCTTCAATGCACCACGTGATGATCGGGTGTTTGATTCAAACGTTCAAATACAACGGGTGTAAGACAGATTTACACATGCAAACACTTAAGTTGACTTGACGAGCCTAGCATGTGTATAGACATGGCCTCGGAACACAGAAGACCGAAAGGTCGAGCATGAGTCGTATGGTAGATACGATCAACATGAAGATGTTCACCGATGTTGACTAGTCCGTCTCACGTGATGATCGGACACGGCCTAGTTAACTCGGATCATGTAATCACTTAGATGACTAGAGGGATGCCTATCTGAGTGGGAGTTCATTGCATAATTTGATTAGATGAACTTAATTATCATGAACTTAGTCTAAAATCTTTACAATATGTCTTGTAGATCAAATGGCCAACGTAGTCCTCAACTTCAACGCGTTCCTACAGAAAACCAAGCTGAAAGACGATGGCAGCAACTACACGGACTGGGTCCGGAACCTGAGGATCATCCTCATAGCTGCCAAGAAAGATTATGTCCTACAAGCACCGCTAGGTGAAGCTCCCGTCCCACAGAGCTAAGACATTATGAACGCTTGGCAGACATGTGCTGATGACTACTCCCTCGTTTAGTGCGGCATGCTTTACAGTTTAGAGCCGGGGCTCCAAAAGCGTTTTGAGAGACATGGAGCATATGAGATGTTCGAAGAGCTGAAAATGGTTTTTCAAGCTCATGCCCGGGTCGAGAGATATGAAGTCTCCGACAAATTCTTTAGCTGTAAGAAGGAGGAAAATAGTTCTGTCAGTGAGCACATACTCACTATGTCTGGGTTACATAACCGCTTGACTCAGCTGGGAGTTAATCTCCCGGATGATGCGGTCATTGACAGAATTCTCCAGTCGCTTCCACCAAGCTACAAGAGCTTTGTGATGAACTTCAATATGCAGGGGATGGAAAAGACCATTCCTGAGGTATTTGCAATGCTGAAATCAGCAGAGGTAGAAGTCAAGAAGGAACATCAAGTGTTGATGGTCAATAAAACCACTAAGTTCAAGAAGGGCAAGGGTAAAAAGAACTTCAAGAAGGACAGCAAGGGAGTTGCCGCGCCCGGCAAGCAAGCTGCTGGGAAGAAGCCAAAGAATGGACACAAGCCCGAGACTGAGTGCTTTTATTGCAAGGGAAGCGGTCACTGGAAGCGGAACTGCCCCAAATACTTAGCGGACAAGAAGGCCGGCAAAACAAAAGGTATATGTGATATACATGTAATTGATGTGTACCTTACCAGTACCCATAGTAGCTCCTGGGTATTTGATACCGGTGCAGTTGCTCACATTTGTATCTCAAAGCAGGGGTTGCGGAATAAGCGGAGACTGGCGAAGGACGAGGTGATGATGCGCGTCGGGAATGGTTCCAAGGTCAATGTGATCGCCGTCGGCACGTTACTATATTTACCTTCGGG